GACAACGGGCCTCAATTTGTGTCTGAGGAATTTAGGCTCTTCCTCACGAGTAATGGCATACGCCAAATGACTTCGGCCCCTTTCCATCCGGCATCTAATGGCCAAGCCGAACGGATGGTCAGGACGGCCAAAGAGGCCCTGGGTAAAATGGACGAAGGGGACTGGAGCCAGAGGCTGGGCTCCTTTCTTTTGCTGCAGCACACCACCCCCTGTAGTGCTACAGGCCGTAGTCCGGCCGAATTGTTAATGGGGCGGAGACTCACGACCCGTTTGAACCGAATGCACCCAGACCTCACTGAAGAGCAATCCGAGCGTACCACGGCGCAACCGAAGGTGCGCATGTTTGAAAAAGGGGACAAGGTTTTCGCACGAAATTATGCAAACGGGCACTTGTGGCTTCCTGGGGTTATATCCGACTCTGTGGGTACTCGAATGTATGTGGTGCAGTTAGCTGACGGTCGAATATGGCGGCGCCACATAGATCAGTTAAGGAGACGTTGGGCTAGGGACAGCGCTGACTCTCCGACGGCTGAATCCCCTGATGTCGAGTGGACACCCCCAGAGCAGGCGGTGAGTACCGAAAGGCCCGGTACTGTCCCCGAGTCAGGGCAGAACCCTGTGTGCGGGGCTGAAATCCCAGTCGAGTCTGTGCCTGATCCAGGCTGTAGTGAACCCCACTCTGACCCACAACCTTGTCTGCCCGTGGAGCCTGCACCGCTCCGCAGGTCCCAGCGTTCGCGGCAAATGCCGACTTATCTGAAGGACTATGAGTGTAAATACTGTTGGAATAACTGATGTACAAAGGTTGAGTGTATGTATGTAAATAATAAAACAATTGGGATGATGGCTTAACTTAGGGGGGAGGAATTGTAATGTATTGAAATGATTACATGAAGCACCTCATAGGACTCCCATGTTAAGCTTCGAGCCAGACCAGGGCTCCTCTGAGCGAACTTCCTATTGGTCGCTTCGTAACAGCGACCAATCAGAACGATACCATTCCCGAGGAGGGAAAGTCTCCCATTGGTCTTTATTCTAGCAATCTCATTGGTTGTTATTTGTAAATAGGCGTGGCTACATTAGCCCGGTTATGTTTAAAAGGAGTATGAGCTCCCACTGTTTTCTGTTCTGGTTTCTTACTGAGTTGGTGCTTGTTCGTTACTTCCAATAAAGCTGAATCACTTGCTGAATCACTGTACGAGTCCTTTGTTAGCGCGATCTAACACCTAAAGCCTTTTCAGGTTGTTACAGAGATCTATCTGCGGTTTATGTAAGTTTATGTAAGTTCCTAGGAGTTCCAGCCAGGCACTGTCCAGACTACCTGCTTAACATCAGCAGTGTTTCCATGTGGACATGCCAGGTGCACAATTTTTGCTAATTTTGCTTCTCCCTTAACAGCTCCAGCCCTCCAGCTCTTCCCTTATGCTGCTTCTGGGGGTCAGGAGGGAAACTGGGGGGGGGGGGCGGTGAGAAATGTGCAGACTTCTGGATCTGAAACAGTGAGTAGTGACACATAAAAGCTACCATGCCACCATTTTTTTTAGTCTTTAAGGTGCTACTGGATTCTTGCTCTTTTCTACTGTATATGATTCTGTGACTGATCAGTAGGGTTGCCAACTTTGGGCTGGGACATTCCTGGATATTTAGGGGGAGGAGCCTAGGGAAGGGAGGGTTGGGGGGAGGGGCCCAGCCAGGTATAAGCCATAAAGTACACCCCCCAGAGCAGCCCTTTTCTCCAGGCAAACTGATCTCTGTGATCTGGAGGTCAGTTGAAACTCCAAGCTCTCCTGCCCCATAAACGTAGGGCATGATGGGCAGAAAATGTGCGATATTCATTCTCTCCAATAGGAGGCAACAGAGTAACATTTTGCCTCATATGTCCTCACATAAAACACTGACAATCCCTTTTAGGTATCTGACTGAGCGAGTTTTGACTCTCAAAAGCTTCTACCCCAAAAATCTTTTTGGTCTCTCAGGTGCTACTGGACTCGAATCTAGCTCTTTTACTGCAGAGTCATGTGGTTATCCTCTGAAGGAATCCCTTTTTGGACTTTCTTCAGCAATAGCCTGACTTGTAGAAATATAGCAGGCATAGGGTTGCCAAACCCCCCCCCCCCGGTTTGCCAGGGGTCCCCTGTTTTTTGGG